CGGAGACGAAGACGAAACGGAACGACCACATGCGCAGTGGTAAACGCATTTCGATGGTTTTTGTTACACAGCTGGAAGTGAAAGTCTTTCATGGAGGATCTGATACAGATAGAGTGGTTTTGTCCGGAAGAGCAGCTAGGGTTGAACAAGGCCTGAGTGACTAGTACAAATGTGGCCGTGTTTCCAGTTGGCTCGTGAGCTTGTCAGCCGGATGAGCATGTATGTGTATTACTCTACGTCTATAGTCATGCTTTCCCAACGACATACACTTCGAGGGCTCACTGCGCTCTGTGATTGTCGCTACCCGCAAGTTGCTTCTGCTTCGAATTAGGATGGGAAATGTGTGCGGAACGCAACCAATGTAATATAAGATATGGCGGCCAGCGCATAGCCAAGTTCCTTGGAGCAGCGGGAAACCGTACTCATCTACACCTATCCGCGGGAGTGCGGTGCAGTTACTTCACAGAACATGCGGATCACTGTGAGGCATTTGCGTGTGAGCACCTTCGGCTATGTGCGGTCAGTGATACTAAGCGACTGGCCCGATTGCAACAAAGCCAGCCCAAACTAGGTAGCCGTCTCCTTCCTCGTTGACAGCAGAGGCGGTTTGTCGCGCCACCCCACATCTGGACCAAATGCATGTTGGCTGGCGTTCATGATGATGGGCAGCTGAGTGAGTCAAGCACAATACTGGCACCCGGCATTGGCCAGGCAGCAATGGCGACAGTAGACAACATGGCTGGTCTCGAGTGGCGAAAAGTGACAACGACGATGGGAGCCTTCGAGACCCGTCTGTGCTGAGGTGTCGTTCTTTCGAGCATCGCGGGATAGACGGCTGTGACCAGTCCGTCTCCCCTTGCCGCAACAAGGTTTCTCATCGAGGGACGAAGGACGCTTCAGCAAGATACTTGCCCAGCTCGTATGTCATTCCACCAAGCACCAGCTGCAGTAGAGGATATGCGTTTTTGTGTGTGCGGTGCTCTGTCCGCGCTCCGTCCATGCGCCACTGCGAATGTGTCGCGCGAGGTGAGCCACTTCGCAAGTACCATTTCGTATGCGCCAGTTGCAGGCTCGCGTGCTTCGATCGCTTCATCATACAAGCGCAGTCGCAACCATACTCTGTGCGCGCACGTTTGCGGGTATCTTTCAATCGCCGCCATGAAGTCATGGACAAGTGTCTGCATAGTTGTCAGCGGGTAGTCGAATCCAACATCGTGTCCGGGAATGTCTCGCGGCGCACCGAAGCCATGGAAGGCTCCGAGCCAGCCTATACCAACGCTTAATTGGTCATCAGGGAAGACGAGCAGGTTCGGCATGCGTGTGCCAGCTGACCTCTTCCCTCGCATCACCAGAGGGCCACATGACACAGATCTAGCCACCAACCAAAAGCGACACCAGGAGCGGCGACTGCCGCTTGCGATGGACACATGTGCTAACGCTACCTAGGTAGCCTTGCCGAGATTCGAGGCCAGTCACCAAGAAGTCTCTGAGTACAGTATTCTGGTTCCTTTGATGGGGTCGCTTCTTTATTGAGATGGAATGATTACCGACTACGTCCCAGTCAACTGCAAGCAGCGTCGTCTGGGTTGATGCGATGGCGGCGCCAGTTGCAAGCATCCATGAAGAAAGGGATGCGGGAACTAGTATGGTGAAAGCTTGGTGTTTGTGTCCGTCGATAGGCAAGCAATGCGTGACCGGCGACTTGATCTCGATATTGCCGTTATTAATGCAGTCATATGATATGGCGGTGCCCCACTTAGGGTTCCATTGCGCGCATTCCCACTGCCCTCTTCAACCCGATTGTCATCACCACACGATCATTGGCAGGATTTTCTGTAACGTACGCCTGCGGACAAGATGGGAGACAAGAGAGAATGGACATCCTGGAATAGAAAGCAAGACATGGAACCAAAAGCTGCAAAACAGAAAGTTGGGACTATTGTGAAGTCGTGAAGTCCCTTTTCGCATCAAGTACGACTACTGACACCCGTCAAGCCCCATCATGGAGTCCTTAGGGCATCGCATGATGTCTCGGAGAGATAGACTTTGCCGAAGCGAGCATCGTGCTTCGAGTGGAGTTTCGCGGTCGCCGGCGCGCAGGTACGTAGACATGACGACCTTTGACGATGATGTTGTTCCACAACGAAGGTGATATATCGGGATGAGGTGTCTGACCTATGATCATGTCAGCCGCTCCACTCATTCAGGCCAGGAAAAAGGCTAGGTTCGGAGATGAGCATTGCTCCATTCTGTAAAGGTTGTCGAAATCGCAGGCAAACGACAGGGTCAAGAGCGCTGCCGAACAGTGTCGCCGGGGATGTTGTCTATCCCATCTACTGCAACACCGGCGCTAGCGTACTCTTTCGCGTGGTCCAGTATGACCGATTGAAAGCATCAGGGTGAGCGCGGAGCACACACCGAGTGCAGAGAAGAGACATTCCAGCGTTGGGAGTTCGTAGAGCAGAGGCAAGACTTGTGCAAGCAGCGGTCAAAGAACTGGCGAAGTGCGGACGGAGGAATAGTGCATTTAGCAAACGCGTCTTGGTGACAGCGGAGATTCTATAGGTTTGCAGCGGATATCCATCAGGGGATGTAGCGGAGATGGTAGAGAATGTCGGATCGCTCTCGTCGGGGCAGCATACTCAATGACACACGTCAGCCAAGTGGAGGATCTCGAGTCGTGAGAAGAAATTACCGGAACGGTAGCACGACGAGCGCGCGGAATTATAGCAATCAGCCAGTGATTGAGGCCTATTATGGCGGCGTCAGAGGTGTGGAGACGCATGAGTAGCTACTACATCCAGCGCCCTTGACCTCCGAAGCAGCCACCGAGAGATTTTAGAGCTTGTAGATCAGACAGCGGCCTGGGCCAAAGTCGACGATGGCTGACCCGAAAGTTGACCGTGGTCCGAGAGGCGCATTCGTGATCGCAAAGCTACCAGAACGCGGCTGTAGTTGAGCAGGATGTGATACCAAGGTCCGCGTGCTTGAGGCGGTGGGGCGATAGATTTGAGAAGGGCATACACTCTCTCTTAAGGCTGACACTGACGCCCAGTAGACGTGGCGCAGCAGAGGGTAAGGGAATTGACGGAAGACCTGATCCATGGTAGAGTAATCTTTTAGCATGCCTTCGCTGTTGTGGTACACTCGCTCGGTGGTCTGATCAGTGTTCTGGCCCCATACAGATTTGCGTCAGTGGTAGTAGGCAGAGGGAACCTAAGTTTCCAAAAGTGGTACGAGAGAAGCATCCCAAGCAACGTTCGATATGACGGTACGTTCATCTTTCACCATTGGTAAGAGACTACGGTCTGCCAGGTGCGGCAGAGACCTCGTTGTCGACGTCTATAGGATTGAGCTGCATTATCTCGAGGCACTGGACACTCGCTGACCAGACCTGTGGTGGTATTCTTGCATGGTGATACGCCCGGTACTGCATCAGCCCGGTCGAATACGCCGCCCTCGAGCATGGGGATCGAGTCGTGCCGTTTCATCCCGAGACGAACATCGCAATCGTAACATGGTCCCGTCCGCGCCACTGGAGCGTGGTCTCAGCATTGATGTTGCAATATTGGTGCAGGGAAGCTTCTTGTTCGACATAAACTTGATGTCGTCCTTCTCGGGGCCTAGGCGGGTTCGAGTTCACGGCTGGGGTGCACAAGTTCGATAACGGAAGCACCCTTGATGTCGACAGTGAATGGGCAATCAACTCTACGGTTCTGCTGAAGTTGAACGTAGCTATTCTATGAGGCGTAGCATGCTCGATGCGCATGACATACGCTTTCAGCACTCGTGCGGTTCCCGCACGGTTAAGCTTTGCGCACGCGCTTCAGCATGCAGCCGAGCGCGGAGGTACCGGAGGGCGGGGATGACGCCGACTGTAGAAGGGGATGACCAAGTTCCTCTGACGCGTGTTATCGCTGGTGCGCTTGACTTCGTACGGAGTTGGGAAATGGACGGCCTCTGCGTGGAGGGGGTGTGTTTGCCGCAATCGCAACGATATGCCCGCCGTGCTGGAGTGTGTCGAGATTCGACGTGAGGACTGTATGTTGGGAGTATGACGTGGCCAAGGTCGGCGAGAGACGTTGCGGAGCCAGTAGGTGCCGTGACAAATGTGAGAGCCTCAGTAGCACTGGGTATGTGAGTTGAGCTGAAGTATGTCCAAGTTGGGGTGGAGTAACCTAATCCAAGTCCAGGATCAGGTTTGTGGGATACAGGCGGACCACGCCTGCGCGTTCGCGATGCTCGATAGTTGTTGATGACCAATCCAAGGTCGGTGGTGCCGTGAGCGGAAAGGAAATGGCGAGTGCGAGAGACTCTGGGATGCGTGAGTTAGCATGAACAGCTGCTTCGCTCTGCGTATCACCGGGTTTGGACGGAGTGGTGTTGGCTGACGTGCAGTCGATTCGAGCTGGCCATCATGCTGGCGCCTCATCACGTAGCGTGACCCGGTGGCCCGACTGAGCATTTCGTTGCATCGCGCACAGGTTGAGCCATTCCGAGATGCGATCCGCCATGTGTGACTCGGTGTGTTGATCTACAAATCGCCGTGTGCCGTGTATTTCAGTCGGCGCATCGGGGCAGTTGCTGCCTCGCCGCGCTCGTGGGAGGCTGAAACAATCTGCGCAAGCCTCTGTCAGCCAGGCCCATACATGTCATGCCCAGATCACGACTGACCTTTGTGGGAGTCCGTGCTCTTGGCGCGTCATCGTGGCGCTGCCCGTGGGCATTCAATGGGCCGTGGCTACTGGATTGAGCGAATCTGGAAAGTGCGCGTGTTTGGTCGCTGCAGTGGGAAGGAGGAGAGCTGTGTCGGTGCTCTTGGGCATGGCGAGGGCGGGCAAGTTGGCTGCGGCGTCGGCAGTGTTGTGCTGGGAGTCGGCACGGCATAACCGCGTCTCACGGGCGGGGCTCGGGCGGGGCTCGGGTGACATCAGACGACAGACCATCTCAACCTCTTGATGCACTCCCTGGCCTCCCTTGCAGCGTCGCAATCGTTGGCAATGCCCTCTTCGCACATGCTCGCCAACCCATCGGTGGTTGACGAAGACCAAGACAACGGTCCTCGTATGGTCAACATTTCCCCAGTGTGCAACTTCCGTAGGTTACGCGTGTACACATTCCACGTTGATTCCTTCTATGTGTACTTCAATACTCTTTCCTCATCATCCTGTGATTCTCAACTAACCTTTTTAGCAAGGTTATCTCTTAGACTTCAGCTTACAGATGTCGCTAGGTAGACTGATCAAAAAGAACCCCAAGCAGTTTAAGATTAATGGTTTGTTAGTAGTGCTGGCTCGATTTGTGGATGCTGCGGAAGGAGAACCATGGTTCTAGAGGCACATGGTCACTGCACTTAAAAACCTCCGTTCTGCTACACAGTCGCAAACATACTCTCACGCGCATACACACCATCACGCACAATACCCGCGCACACGCTTACAGTTCGCGTATACTCCACGATGTCATCCTCCCAGCAGCAGTTCGTCCCAAGAATTAGACGGGTTCGAGAGCTGCAAGCGTACAAGGACTGGGTCGAGGCAGGGGGATTAGAAAGATTCGCGGCAGAGCATAATGTCAAACCAGACTTCGCTGACCGTCTTTGCGACGTCAAGCCGGACGTAGCCATCGCGTTTTACCTCAAACTCGCGACTATACCTGGCCTAGAAACTACAATGGCACCCCCGAGCAATGAAGTGTATGCCCCCGCCTCTTATGGGCTACAAATCATACAGGACACGGAGAACGGATGGAGCAGCGAACATGAGACGGATGATAAGAAGGCCAGGGAACAGAAAGGCGGAGAGAGCAAGGACGTAAGTCGCAACACTTAGTCCTTGCATCTTATAGTAGGGCTGACAAATGACAAGATCAAGGACGAATCCGATTAGGACTTCTTGTTCCTCGCAGTTTTGAGCAGCCCAAGGAAACGAGGCGCGCCCGATTAAGCCTTAAGTAGCCTGGCAAAGCGCTACAAGGAGGCATGAATACGCGTGCGCTTAGGTATGTACGTGGAACTGAGGAGAGTCCAACGGAGGACACATCGATTGGAGGGGGCTTTGCAACGACATACAGTAACTTATTACCTACCGAATGGAGACGCAAAACCTGCCTTGCTGTTGAAGCTGGGCGGCAATGAAGCTGACGGCTGAGTGTTGGTGGTCTTGGTGAAGATGGCGATGACGTTGATGACAAAGCGTCGCTAGCGACCGTGTAGGCTTAGCGGCATCCGGCCTCGGCCAGCGTTCGCTCTGCGCCGGTGCCAGCTCTCACTGCCACACGCCCGATGCATCCGCCATAGTCCACCATGTCTTCGCAACAGCGCATCGCAGTCATGTCATTCCTCGACCCTATATCGCCGACGTGACATATTTCGCTGCCCTCCACGACACGACTCGCCGTGCGACTCGCCTTCGTTGACCGGCTCATCACCTTGCTGCATGCGACACCGCCCATATTACACACGGAAGCACGTTGGCAGCCGCACCTTGGACACGTCCAGTATCGCGACGGCCCTGCTCTCGAGCGACGTAGTGCACACATCTCCCCACATACTGCATATCCCCCAATCATCGCCCATGTCTAGTCGCAACCAATGGGCAGCCGCTGCCGTCGTCTTCACAACAAGACACGACTAGTCGGAAACTAGGAGGACGGATGCATAGCAGGACAGTGGATGATGGGCCCGGTAGGATCTGCTGCGTAGGAGCGCGCTCAACGCAGCCGACGACAGCCTAGTTGAATCCGACGGCATGATTCCAGGCCACCACCTCTGCTCGACACCCAACATGGACCCCGTGGCCCATCCTTCACGGTACCTGTCGCGCGCAGATTCGGCAGAACCTTGGACTATCTGACCACTGCGCACGCCCGGCTACTGTCCGGAGCAGCGACTTGCAGCCACCTCCACTGAGGACGTTACTTCGGCCATGGAATTTGGCGGAGCTGGTGCTGGGCAAGATAACATGTCTCAGCGTCACCTTCACTGATGAGCATCTCAGGCTGAAGCACACCACTGCGTCTTGGTCAAGAGGTTGCGGAAAAAAGAATCGTTTCATGCCACCTGCGAAGACTACAACCTCATCCATGATCGCCAAATTCACTCCGCAGCCCCCACTGTCGGCGCGAGCCCATTCCAACGGCCGCCGCCTCGCCGAGGACCAGCACCCCGTCATCGCCTGCCCCGCCCTCACATTGACCGCGCGAAGCTTGTCGTCAGTTACGAACGCGTGCTTGTGTACCATGCTGCAGCAGAACGTTATCATCCTCACGATGGACCGAGTCCGCACGACGCCATGTTGCCAGATCACGTATCGCCCGTTAACGGAACGTCAATCGAGGCTCCAGCGGGTTGCCCTTACGCCATCCCTCCGGCCTCTCCACATTGCGAGGACGCGTTCTACACCTGGCCACACGATATCATACGCGTCGCGATAGGTATTCGTCTCCACGACACACATGGCGATCTCGATAGAAGATGGACTCGACAACAAGGGTGGAGTACAACAAGATGGCTGTCACGGGGAATGGCGGTCGCTCCCCGACTGTGGGAGTTTAGGAATTCGACTGGATTGGCACGAGCAGGCTGCAGGTCAACGAAGGGTGAAAAGGCTGACGGCTTCTTACTCAAAGATCGAGTACATGTTGTGCATGGGCAGATCTGCTGCAAGAGTTTGGATAACCCGACGCCTGCTGGTGACTACTCTGAGATGGTTAGGTGTTCATATAGCAGTTCACAATGTTCTATTTGCAATAATAATAGTCTGTCAAGGCAACATACCCCTATTTACCACGCAGTCAAGCACCCTGACCGGAATCTAAAGAATCTATCCTGCCTATCTCCTCCGCGTCAACACGACTATTGGTTGTATGCGCGAACTCCGAACGAAAGAATGGTATCGTTGTTGCTACGAAAGACTGTCTAGTTCCCATCAGTAAATGAGACTTGGCCGATGATCGTCCAAACGGAATGCCAGCAAGTCAGCGACTGTTGGTGGGGATGGATCAGGTCCGAGAGGAAAGCAGTATTCACAGTGGTAGTCCGTTGGGCTGATCCTGATGACCCGTCCGTTCACTCGGTTGCGTCCAAAAGCTTGAACCCGTCCACAAGCTACCCTCGTCACACATGTGGTACATACCGGATGTCCACACGGAGTGTCGAGCAACCCATCGTCTCCATTGCACATGCAGCATTCAGTATGGCTGGACCGGAGGGGATGAAGCTGCTGAGGGCCTAAAGCGAGGTGCTGGGGACAGTAGACTCGTTGGTCGCTGTCGCGACAGGCATTGAAGCATTGCCGGCAGCAGATGCTCTTGCATGTGCTGAGAACGAGTGGGTCCGTGTCTGGGTCTGTGTCGTGTTCGTGGACGCACTGCGAGATATTATTGATGCTATCTTGAGGAGTATCCATGCTCTCTTGAGTATCAATGCTCTCTTGAGTATCAATGCTCTCTTGAGGAGTATCCATGCTTCCTTGTAGATCAATGCTCTCTTGAGGAGTATCAATGCTGTCTTGAGGAGTATCCATGCTCTCTTGGGGATCAATGCTGTCTTGGGGATCAATGCTCTCTTGAGGAGTATCCATGCTGTCATGAGGAGTATCCATGCTCTCTTGAGGAGTATCCATGCTGTCTTGAGGATTAATGCTGTCTTGAGGAGTATCAATCCTGTCTTGAGGAGTATCAATCCTGTCTTGAGGAGTATCGGAAATGCTCCAAAGCTGTCGCCAGCTTTGCTTCGTAATGATTATGCAGCTCCTGAAGAAATCTCCATTCCCCAAAGAAGGCCAGCTCTCGATGGTGAAGATGTAGACGGCCACAAAACAAAAGAAGAGAATGAGACGAACGGATGTCTCGACGACAGCATCGTGGTCGCAGGCTTTGCGAAACGTTACTGGCCAGAAGTAGGTACCGAGCGCGAGATACATGAGCGATTCGACAGACCAAAATTTGGCGGAGTGATATTGCGTGCGGAATAACGCTCGTTCAAAGTAAGCCAATAAGTCCGCGCCTGCTACTAGCACCCACCAAATACTGAAGATGATAAAAAGTCCTTGACCGACGCTTGAACGACAGTAGCATCCCTGATGTACTGTCTCCCAATCAGAGGCTCTGGGCGTTCTTACAGAATCTCTGGTAACCAGCATGCCTATGTATACGGCATCAGTAAGGGATTTTCGTAGGGCAGGACCGATGAACGCAACCGCCCCAGAGTGGTCAAGATAGTATCGTTGGCACTTCCAAACCCCTTCCGCAACCATGCGCCTTGATTCATGCATGATTGATACGATCAGACGCCAGCCCTCGGATAGAATTCCAACAAGAAGACACACTCCTACCATGATGAGGTAGATAGTGAGGCAGGTAGCGATCATAATTCCGCACACAGGCAGGAACATGAACAGGATACTGAAGTTCTTTATAACGGGACCATCGTATAGTAGCATCAGGAACCCCGTGATCGTGAACAGCAAAAGTCCATAGAGGCCATTAAGGAATTTTCCGTCAATCTCTTCATAGTCCCGAGATCTATCGTAGTCCTCAGAGCTAGACATGGTGTCGATGTAGCTTTTAATCAAGCTTACAGTGGCGAATGCGATATCGAAAGGTACCCAGGAGGTGATGTAATGTGACAAGAACTTTGTGTGTATACAGAGTGACGGATCGTTTGTGTAGATATTTGTAGGTGTGCTGAGTACGCGTAGATAGTTGTAATGTGTTGTAAGTCTTTGTATTAAGTCGATAGCTGTACTAGAAGGTTTACAGACTATATACAGATAAGCGAGCATAACTTCAAGAGAACGGCATACGGTGTTCTCCGACAGAGATTTCTCCTCAGGAGTAATGACAATGCATTGTGTAAAAATAGAGACCAAGCGATGTCTCGAAAGAAGTCGACGACTTTCACTGGAAAGAGTCACCTTAATTGCGCTCTCAACTCGCTTCCAGCGCGAGCAGGCGCTGTGAAATGTATCGCGATGTACACAGATAACCTTGGAACTGAATTAGGTCGGAATGTGGCGAAGACCGTGAGCATGCGCTAACTTTGGTAAGGACGAAGTGTAGTCTTAGTCAAGTTGGACATGTCGAGCATTAGCGTGACTGACATCTTAGAAGAAGATGTTGACGTAGACCTGTCGAGGAGGTGATGCTGTTGCTCGATAACCATGTAGCAGTCAACTTCGCTCGTGCTTCGTCGATAGATAGTAAAGCAAGCGTCGACGCTGGTCGCGCGCGAACTACCCACTGCGTCTGTCTTTTCTTTTCGCCCATAACCACCTCAAAGGTATGCTTGCACATAAGAAGCTATGCCGGTCTCGAGCAAAGAGAAACTCGAA